ATTTCTTGGGTTTGGGTTCTTTTTGCCTTCGACAATTACCGAATTTCCCGACTATTGCCCAGCCGTTACGGAGGTTGACCTGCCAAAACCATTAATTTCGTTGGGCCACTGAACAAGGCAATGCTTACATGACTGTACGAGCGATGATTGAATCCATTTCCATGTTAGCCATCTTCAAGAAGAACTGTCCAACGTTTATTTCAACGGATGCTTCAGATGTTGGTTTGGGTGCAGTTATGTCACAGCTGCGCGATGTTGATGATAAAGTGATTGCGTACGCATCATGTACCTAGTCTGATACTGAAAAAATGCCTCCACCTGGGAGAAGTAGGTCCGCGCATGCGAGTGGGTGTGTGAGAAATGGCACTTTTACTCGGAAGTCGATTCATTTTGCGCACCGATCATTCTGCTATTGCAACTTTGCGGAGTCCCGGTAACAAAGGCCAAAATCCGGTACGTTTGAGTCTCTGGTACTCAGATTTATTGAACAGTGATTATAAAATAAAATACGTGCCAGACTGCTTTAACCAACGTGTAAGTACTCTGGCGAGACTGCATTTTCTAACGAAGGGTAAAACGCGGACTCAGACGGAACTCCTTCTACCATAACATTTGACCTGATATGGGATCACATTGACTAAGACACTGTCCTAACAAAGCTTCGAGAGTACATAACCAATTCATGGCCCAGTCGTCCTAAGATCTAACCTGAGTTACTTCCATACTCTACCCTACGGAAGGAGCTTTCTACTGTGAACATCTGCATTAGTAGAGGCGAGCAGTTTGTGGTCGCTGTAACCCTCATTCCTCTGGTGGTTCGATGTGTGCATGATGGTCATCCTGGGATGGTGCAAACAAAAGCTCGGATACCGCAACGATATTGATGGCCAAAGTTGGATTCCAGCATCGAGGCGGTTCTTCGTGAATGTGACGACTGCGAGGAATCCGATAATAGCGCCTCTAAATGCTCTAGTCCAACTTATGGTGTTCCCATTGAATTAATGGGCAACAATTGCCATCGAGATTATGGGTCCGTTTTCCAATTCACCTCAGCGGAAGCGAAACGTGCTAGTGGCTACATGTTTCTACAGCAAATGGTCAGAAGCTTTTATATGCGGGGACGTAAATACAATCGTCATCATAAAGTGACTCCGTTGTTCGTTTGCAGGGTACGGTTTACTAGAAGAGATAGTCACTGAAATCGGCCCACAGTTTCAAAGCGACGAGTTTGCTGAATCCCTTAGACGCAATGGTCTCAGCCATACGAGGACTGTACCTTTTAATCCTGCCGCATATGCGCTCGTCGAACGAATTAATCATACTTTGAAAGGATTACTAAAAGTCCTCCGGTCTTCGACAGAATCCTGGGATGATGCGTTGCTATCTACATTGGAGGTAAACAGAAGCACTCCAAATACTGTAACGGCATGTACCCCCCTCTCCGGAGCTTATGTTGGGGCAAACAATTCGAACTCGGTCAATATAGCCTTCCCATCCGTAGAAAGCTCTGATCAGAGAGATTATGAAAGACAGGCGATTTACCGAGATAAATATAGACACGTTGGGAAAACGTATCACCCGGGGACATTTGTTCGTTTGCGACTACTCTATTCCGGTAAGGAGGTAATATATTGTGACCGCCGACCCATCTGGAATCTGTGTTCACGCCAGGAACTTATAAGTCGGCTGATGGAACAAGAATGAATGTAAGACGACTGCATACACCGCTTTCCTAACGACCACTTGAACAGACGAACACACCTAGAACACAGCGCTCGGTACAAAGTAATACAAACTTACGACGTTCCGGTCGTACGCATCGCCCTGTCTTCCCATACGTTTTAACGGATAACACCACATGACAATTCTCTGGGGTGCTAACCTTAAATTAGATCGTTCATAGACAAGTAGCATCTATATTTACGAACAGAAGGGAGGCAATGACGTGTTCAAATACTCTGCTTTGTTTTCGCCCTTGATTCGCGGTTCCTACTCACACTTCTATTTGGCACTCGTTGGCCCGTCATGTGAGCTTCCAATTGATTGGTTGCAATGCAAACCTCCATCGATTTAATTGTACTGTGCGTATGTGCGGACAGTTTTCTCCATAACTGCCTTCCGGTGCTGCTCTGGTCTGCTGTTTTATC